GGCGCGCACATCTCGGCGAGCGCGCGTGGGCTCGATCTCAACGAGGCACATTTTGTCATTTACCTTTCTCGACACCCCCGCTCCCGATCTTAATGACATCCACGAATATTTCCAAGTGCGCGATTGATAATTAATGAGCTAGAAAATACAGTAGCGATTGCGCATTCGAAAACAAAAACCACGCGTCATGGCTACTAGCTACGTGGGTGGACGTGTTGTCCATGGCCGGAATGCATATTACGGCAAATGTCGATTACTATATGACGTCTTTCACAAAGCCGCCTCTCACGTATCTCTTTTATGTGCCTCGGCGATGAGTGTCCGTCTTGTTCTCATGCAGAAAACATGAAAAAAAAGATCGAACCATATTGTTGTTGGCGTAAAGTTGGCCTTCGTTCGTTTTACAAATTTTTCGTGGGATGACATTTCACCAAGATTTTTTCTTGAAATTTAGGTCAGAACAATTTTTTTTTCTAAACCGCGATGAAGAAAGATACGTTTGCGGGAAAATATGCCAATGATCGGGAATCAATTTTCGTCGGCAGTTTGTATAAGTCGAGACGTAGAATTTTAAGGACTAGATAATGCCATTTACGTGAGCGAGAGAGATAGCCGTGCGTGTAAGTTCCAGAGGCATAAAAGGAAAGCTGTTCGATTATATTGCACATTGACGTTGCGGCGGTCGCGTACGGAGGCATTAGATGAAAGAGTGTTAAATACGCGACTTACCATTGTGAATGGAAAGTTATACTGAGAATTTCGGATTGAGTAACAAGGCCGCGCACTTGCGATTGCCTTAACTTACCAGTTTCTCGCTTTCGAAGCGAAATAATTGCCTTCCGAAAATCGAACGAACAGACGAGTGTGTTTTTTTTGCACTTTACTGTAGCGTGGATGACATCTGTTTCGAGAGGCGAGAAATTTATTCATGAATCTATCGACGTCGGTTCACGCCAATTCGCCTGCCAACGTCGTCGAACTCTGCTCTTATTAGAATGAATATATGAATACTATGCATGTTATAGTTTTTCGATGCAAACAAACTGCGATCGATGTAATTAAACTTTGTTTACAAAAGTGATGCGATGCTAAGTAATTGAATATCGCGTAACACGTGGTCGTAATAAAGAGAACAATAGAACGGATCCTTTTATAATCTTGATCGCGTTCTTATAAAGCGTGTCTAAAGAGATAGTCCTGAAAGACATACAATCGGGACGAGATCGGGTCACGAGACTCTACGCGAATCACTTTCCATATCTAAATTACGTCGACTGGATTTTTCCTAGCGCTGATTCCGGAATAATGTCAATTGGGAGAAACCAAGCGACTAAACGTATACGGTCACGTCAGGCTTGATTTGATTCTCGAGGTGACCGTTGCACCAAAGTTATACACGTTCGCGTACTCGACGAGAACGAGCTGCGTCGTGTACACATGTACAATGTAAAAGCGAACGTACCGAGGCCGGAACTGTGTATAATACAGCCGGCAGGCTCGGTGAAGCGCGAGTCTGCTCCGTTTGCTTGCATAAAATTCAATCGGCTCGCGAAAAACCGCCTAGCTTTCAGTTCGCGCATCGCGTGCGCGCAGCAGCGACGAGTTCTTTTTGGTCACACAGATGATTGGCGAAATCAAGGCCGTCGTTACTGACGCAAATGACAAGTAATAGAATGTCAATTGCTCTCTTGTCGCTCTTTTTCTTTTGGAAATCGTGTAGTAGCCATTGATGCAGCGGAGAGCAACAGGTGTGTTATGTAAAAGGTCGATTTCGCGAAACTAAAGGTACGAAAGGTAAACGGACTGCGAGTACATATAGCAAATTTTGAGATACTTGGATGTCAACTTGAAGACACTAAAGTTTCATGGCTCGTTCGTAAATTTTCTTACAGTAATAGCTATTACAATGAGCGCCAGTAACGTCGGTGTCAATGTCCGGTTTAATGCAGATCGATGCACCTAAATTGGTCTATTCGTCGTGCGTCTAAGAACACACTTACAGGAATGGCGTGATATCGAGTCATGAAACGACGTCACACGCGTTATCTGTCGTTTGATAGATGCACGTACGGAGCGTTGCTCGTACGATCGACTCTTTGCGCCTCTGGAATTGACTGTTGGAATTTTACGCAAAGTCGCTAAGTGTAGAGTTCCAAATTGAGATGCTAGTGATAGAAGTAATTGAACAGTCGAGTGTAAATAATTGAGGGCTCGTCAAAGGCAAGACAAACGCAACGTCGGTCTGTCACGAAGAGATTCGCGGCGAATCGTATTTATAAGGGTAACGAGCGTGTAAACGAGCGTGTAAACGAGCGGGTATTCTAATCGTTACCTCGAGTAATCGACTGTGCGCGCATCCGTAATGATGACTACAATGTCTCTCCTTATAGCGAGTCGCGTGTGCGTGTCCATCAAGTTTTATTCATTTATTTATTTATTTTAGAGGCGCGTCCAGACCTCCGTCCGACGATAATGGGCTTTCTTTCTTTATAGACTTCATCCGGCTATGTATGTGTGTGTACGTGTGGGCTCGCGTGTCCAACGGCGGTTTCCGTACCCTTCGAGATATGTGCGGTTTATACCTTTTCGCCTACTCTGCTTATAGCCACGATCCTATCGATCTGTGGAATTAGTAATTTACATTGGGAAGTCTCGGCGCTGTTGTATGCTAAAGTTATATACGCTTGTTACTATCGCTTTTGAAATAAGGGATATAATGCTAGAGTGCGTTACCCTCTACTGGGACAGCAGATATTCACTTGTACAACCCGAATGCGGATACTTTGGATAGGATGCTGTCGTTTGGATGTGATACGATATATGGCTCGAGTGATATTATAAATTTTCTTCTTATGTTAGCAGAAGATTCAAAGAAAACCGATAAATCACATTCACTGCGGAGCTATTCATCAAGCTCGAGATACAGCCATTTGTCAAAATACTTGTTAGTTTCGATTGCTTTCTTCGAATGATGTTTGCAATTCAATTTTACAGATTTCTCGATAAATTGATTGAAAATGTCAATTTGAAAAATATCAAAAGCGTGCATCGACCGTTTGCTCGTACGATTGCCTCACACTCGGGTGCTTTCGCTCAATCCGAGTAAATAGACAACGAAAAGCCGGATAATGATACGCGCTTGTGCGCCTAATTAAGTAAGGGACTAATGACTGCGTTTAGTCTCGAGGATTGATTACCGGTCGACTCTTGAATTGGGGGCTTCTGAAAGCCGTGTATCCATTTGTTGTTACTTAATGAACTCTACTCTTCTACAAGAATGCTAATTGAAATGGACTGTGGCATATTCCGACTGAAATTACAAGAAAAAATGGAATTGAATTGCGTGGAAGCGTCTACGCGCGCGGGGCTACGCGATGCCCAAATGTAATTGGCGATAGGCAAAACTGTGATACTCGTTGCGACTGCCGACCGCTGAAAATCAAAGTAGCTTGCATTCTGCGTCCGCCCGCGATATATCCAGCATCGTCCGTAAACTGCTCGTGGATAGAAGCGTGCAAGCGGCTATAAGTGCGACGTATGGCAGACATCACGGAAGGCTTGCAGCCAACCGCCCGTAAGCTTATCCGTCCTCGCGCTCGCCGCTCGCTCAGTTATAGCACTTCCTAGCTATACGTGTATATATAGACGCGTCTCCTCCTCGCGAGCGACGTCAGCGACCTCGTTTTTTTTTTTGCCTTTCCTTTTTCTTTTTTTCTTTTTGGTTCTTCTTCTTCGTTTTCGCGCGACAGCTGATCGGCGCATCGGCATAGCTCGAATTAGGGCCCCTCTGCTCTCGATTCCAATGCGACAAGACAAGCTCGATGGATGCGGACCACCACTTCCGTTACGATCAACGTTTTTTCACCCGCTCGTTATAGAGCCGACGCCGCAACAAAGCATGCCAGATGATGTAATCGACAGAATTTTATACTCGGACGCGATGCTGGTCCGTTTGATTACAAATATTTTTAATTGCAAGTACACCGGCATGATAACGATCACGTTCGCTTATAATGTCAGTTCGAGCACAATGAATGACTTCAGATTTTGCTCTATTCGACTTCGAATGGATGACATTTCATTGTCGCTTTTCATTAAAAATGCAAACAGTTTGCGCTAACCGCGGCGATATGATAAATTTTCAAACTCTTCGTATACTTGTGTCTTCAGTTCGCAGGATTATTGCATCTATTTTAATTTTCGTATAAAATGCAACATGATTTGGTCGAAGCAAAGTACAACTTAAGATTTATATTTCAATTTTCGCCCAGTGAAATCGTATGTCATCCGATTTAATTATACGCGTTTGATCATTCTTTACATGCCATTTTCTAAGGGACACTAGCCATCGTTTGAAAACTTATATTCATCTCGAGGAATCTTGCTCAGCATGATATTCTTCACAGCAGTAAGATAAAAAGTTTTCTTTTTAAGTAAACTACAAACGCTTGAATACTTTGGTTAAAAAGATATTTCCACGGAAAGGTAGAACGTCAGATCCTCCTAAAAAATTTACGATCTTGCTAGATGTTTTTAATTTGAAAATGTATGCGAAGGAAAATTGCATCTGCTGTGTTGCACGCATAATTTAAATGGATTGATCAAACGGTAACCAGCATTTACACGAATACAAATATGATTTCTCTGTTCTGAAAACCCATAGATCGTCTCGTGACCTTTTTGCTTCTTATACTCTGCGCGTGATTTTACGCTTCGCGCCAGATTTACTCTCATCGCTGGGGGCTACACCATCTTGTCGATTTTTCGTGCAGCAAGAATTTCTAGTGCGCTCGAATGAAACGGTTTGCTTCGTCGTACCTGCATTTCCCTTCGTCGAGAGTTATCTGAAAGCTTCATGGGTCAGTTGCAAATTGAAAAATAAATTTCGAGGTTGAAGAAATTTGACGTATCGCGTGTTATCATGAATAGTATTCAATTTGTTTGACTACTATGCGTTAATGAAGAAAATATTAATGGAATATATATTTTTTTTATTTCAGGCCAAACAACGTGCCTCCGTAAAATGGCTCCTGTCAAAAGCATACAACAATCGCGTTCCAGAAAAACTTCTGGAGCCCTACTATCGCGATCACGAGGTAAACAAACTTGACGTTCATTTATTCTGTGGGCATTACATTAATCCAAAGTACCGATGAAATCAACTTAAAAAATTGCAGGATCAGGAGCATTTGAAACCACAAATCGTCCATGCGCTCTCGAATGCGGAACTTTACTGCCTGGCACTGGCGAATATCTACTCGGATCCCAACTATCACAATCAGAATCACACTGGCATCCTACAAGCTCTCGCGCGAAAGGGCGTATACGTTGCCGAGCCAAATAGCACAGCGCTTACCGAGACGATTCTCATTCAGAATTCACCACTGAAAATGGTGCGACCTACTTCTCTATCTTTCTATTTACTTGCAATTATGCCGGTTGCTGCGCGAAAAAAGCTTTAAAAAAGAATGCTTTCACGCGTGAGTAAATTTGCAACATCATAAACGAACACTTTAACATTTTCAGTCGGCGCACATGGCTGTGATAGAGGGTCTGATGGTTCTGTACGCGAAGGAGGTGGTCACGGGCGAGCGCGTGGTAGCGGCAATCCAGCGCTTCGACCCACAGCCCCGAGCAGTCAGCACACCCCAGGACCACGAGCAAGGACTACTGTTGTGGATCAGTCACGCCTGTATAGCTCTCATTGCCAAGATTCAAGCGGAGGAAAGCGCCGACAAGAGTCGTCTGTTGCCCGAACTACCGCCTCCGAAAGATTTGCAATCACTGTGCGATGGCGTCGGTTTGGCCGCCGTAGTTGCTTACTACTGTCCACAAGAGCTCAATTGGATCGATATCAGGGTTTCCAAGAGGCCATCCGTCGCCGATGCTCTCCACAATCTCGCCCTCGTGCACGCATTCTGTACACGATGTTTGCCTTATCCGATCTTCCACATGCAGCCGGAGGACGTCACTTATATGAGGGGGTACGTTCGCTTTGTATGTTTGACTTTTATCGACGAATATAAGCAGCTGCAATTGTTTCTTTTACATGGCAATCTTTGTAAGCCACTTTAACTTTGTTTACACTTTGTACACGTATACCTTTTTTTATATTCACACATTCTTTTATGTAACGTTAAGGGCGATTTCATACGATGCTTTTTTTTGTATGATTTGAATGAAATCGAGTTTTGTTTACTTTTCTACGGACAATACCACCCTCACAATGCGTCTAACATTTTCCCCCACTACTGATTACAAATCTTTTTACTGCCTTATTTGCTTCAGTCTTGCAAAATGATTTAATATGATTTTCCTTAACTTTATACAAAGGAAGAAATTTATTTCGTACAATATATATGCAGTCATAATTTTCTCGGTGCATATATTAAATTTTGATACATTATTTTTTAAAATAATATTTTAAAACTTACTTGTATTGATTCTCTGTAATAAACACGAAAATTATACTTTAACATTTATCGTTAGATTAAGAATGTATTATATGGAAGTTAATATATACAATATTTATTTTAGGTCCATGAAGCAAAATCTTGTAGTTTTTCTAGCCGAAATGTACAACGTCTTAGAAATTCATCCCGCCAAATGCGTGCGTTACCCCGGCGAGGATAAAGCGCAACAATACTTGGACGGTGAGTCAGCAAAGCGATGCTTCCATACAAATTCTAGCAATGTTTGTTTTATAATTGTGGACGATCTTCGTGATTAATCGAAAAATGGGTCTCTTGTATTTTTACATTTCGCAAAAGTAAATCTTTTGGTGACGGGCTATATAAATGATTGGTGAAGGCTGACTCACACATTATGTATAACATAATCTCTACTCTCTCTGTTTGTTCTTTTTTTCAATTTTTACTCGTGGATTTCTAATTTAGTTGCAATCAATTGAGGCTTATATACTTTACAATAACTAACATTGCTATGTACCTATCGAATTTGAAAACTTATTAAATAAATAAGTTGATTGCGATTAAGTTGAAGTCATGCTTTTATTGGTGTCGATATATATATATATATATATATATATATATATATATATATATATATATATATACACACACACACACATACACAGTCTTAAAATATCGTTGCGCCCAATTGATATGCTCATTGGCTGCTAACATACTTGAAAATGTACAAAGAAGTTGTATAGTAGTTAAAAATATGCTAAATACTTGAAAGCAAAGGAAAAAACTAAAAGGAAAAGATGACAGCAGTTAATGTAAGGAAAGGGTGGAATTAATAAAAGATATATAATTATTCCACATATGTCTGAATGGCGTTGATCTACTACTCTTGCTCTCGATGCTTGACTCTGTGTGGCCGACTTGCGCCTCTTCATGATTCTCCTCCTCTTGACGAACACGTTAAGCAGCGTGCCCGCGCAATAGTCACGGCGTAGCTCATAAGCGAAGCCTGCCGCCTACATGCGTCACTGCAATACCTGATTTGAGAAGCAACCTCTCCATGTCCGCTCCGGGCTTTACAGGTACCCAACCGTACGACCTACGAAAGATCAGTTGCAAAATCAAGTCATCGAAATTTTGATCTTAATGGTGTTCTTTCTATCTTTTATTTTATTTCACAATTTTCAATAAAAATTGTCACCGATGTTACACGGAACCACGGCAACTTAAATGTGTTCATAATTTGTCGTTCAATTTTTTTTAATCAAGTCCTTCGACTAAGCTTAAGGGGTATAGCAAAATTATAATATTATTAAGACATTAATTTTCACCAAATTTTTATATAAAAATTTTATTATTAATAGTGAAGTATTCTTGAATCCTTCGAAAAAAAATTTGAAAAATAATTGGTTTTTATAGAAATTCATTCATATGTTATGTATATGTTAATTTTTTAGTTTTTTTTTTATTCTTGGGTTAAATCCATCGAGTACGCGGCCATAACAATTCTAATTAGTCCATTCAACTTGAACAAAAATGCAAACTATTTTTTCTTCTTAAATCAGGTATCTAAGACCGTAAAAGTTTGCATTGAAAGCAGAATTAACAGGAAAGCTTCGATAATAATAAAAAATACTTTACTATTACATTTAAGTATTAATGTTTTTGTAAAAATATGACACACTCCTTAAGTGTCTCAACATCGGTTGGTACTCGCTTAGTAGCCTTATTTTCACTTTCAGTTTGCACGTTTTTCTTTGTTTTTGCAAAAGGCTTAGTGCTGTATCAAATCAGACGAAGGACTTATCACATCTCATTAAATTTCATATAATGTTATTTGTTTGTTTGTATCTTATTAGTCATTTTTACGTATGTTATCTTGTTTTCGCACGTGTGTTATTTTATTACTTTTTTCTTCAATCACTATCATTTTATTTTTCTATTTTATCTCTCATTGTATTTTTCTATCATCTATGATATTTTGTTGTATACTTCGAAACTTCATGTGGTGTTGCTAGGTATTAGAAATAAAATACTTTGCACACTTGAAAGAATTTATTGTGCATTATTCAATTACTTAATATAATTGTTATAAGAATTTTCTGGTATATTTACAACTAAATCAAAATGTAATGTATTGACGTCACAAATGCATACATTCGAAGGTACAGTTTCGTTAAAATAACTAAATTGATTTTTCCAAGACTTAATTTACATTTATCAAACAAAAATCTTGAAATAACAAAAGTATTATTCTAGTCATCGTCTTAATATAATTTGGACAACATTTTCTAATACTCTGATTGGTTTTCTATCGTCGCATTAATCAGAAACGAGTGTAAATAAATGTTATTCTAACAACTAAAGCCTACATATGTAAAGTTATAATTGATATAAATGAATATTTTGTTTGTTGTGCGTATTGTAAATAAAGTAGAATATATTTATCAATCGTATTAATAACATAAAATAAGTTGAACTTGAAAGGAGATATTCAATTTTGATTGTTTCTTTTATCAAATAATACATTTATACTAGAAAAGTTCGATTAGAAGAAAATTATTTTATTGATGTAACAATGATGTATTATCAATATATAACAGTAACATTATTAAACAGTAATATCAGAAATTAAAAATGTTTTTATCAAATGCAATAGTAACTATTGACAAATATAAGAAATAACCTTTCACGTACAGCTTATTACAATGCTTGCATATTATATTTGATATTCATTCTTACTAACCTTACAGCAATCTATAGAAACTATAGTCTAACAATAACAGAAATTAATAAACTACTTGTTAAAATAATTTTTTTTTATTTTAGTCACGAAGCCGTTTGTACAGAACACGGTAAAGAAGTCGCAATCTATGTATCAAACTCCAGATTCTCATCCGAGCGACGAAAGGTTTGTAACGTATATTTTTACTTACAGAGTTCAGCACTAAATGTTTTATAATATTTTACGGTCAAATGCCATAAAAATATTGTAAAATTATTTTCACTACAAAAATTTCACCATAATTGTGCTATTATTTAAATGAAAATGATTTTCGCAGAAAAACGACCAGCGAAGAAGCGTTTACAATGCATCGAACGAAACAGGTGCCAACGCTAAGCTCGGTATGCGACGATAAAACGTCAATAAGAGCTGAGGCCGCTGGTCGGCCGAGCAACTGGGAAGAACAGAGACGGAGCTCTTATGCTGGCAGAAGATCGAGACGCAACAGTGTTACCAATGCCGAAGACTCGCAACTTACCATTGAAAACTTCGGAGGGTCCCAAGTGAGAAAAACTCTTGTTCACGAGACCTTATTAAAAAAAATTGAGACTATTAGAGTAAGACTAGGAATTATTTACTTATTATTTTAGAGCTTCTATTTTCTCATTTTATCACGTTTATTTTTATATTTTTTATACTCTCCAAAAATAGAAAAAAAAATCGCTTTGCAAGACGTCTATTGTTTAGTTGCGCTGCTGTATTTGTTAAGAAGTCTCTCGAATGGCAAGTTTGCCTCGAAAATCAACAAGGGTATACGATTCTAAATGAATTAGTAAACTTTTGTTAAACTATAACAGTAGTTAGCTAGTCATATTATTTTCATATTTTTTAATTAGTCTCTATGTAGTGATCTTTCTCTTATAATGATTTTCGAAATAAACAAATTGTTATTAAAATTCACAACACCAACTGATTTTGCTGTTGGATTGACTAAGAATCATTTACTCTTTTGTTGATTTAAAAAGTCATCCCGCACAGTGTGTTGCACATCGTTTTCGTTGGTTTGTTTGGTCATTCATCACATTTCATGCACAACAAATGAATTATATTGGAAGTTCCAGAAGTCATTGATAAACTATCTTAACGAGTACAAAGCAGCGAAATATCGACGTTAAAAGTTAGCAATATGAGGTGTGGGTGTGTTTTTTCTATTTACAGGACAATCTGCACAACATCGGCCGAAATCCAGACAAAGTGTTAGGAAAACACGCGTTACGACATCCACGTTTAGTAGCTGAACCGACATTGCCAGCGAGGTCGAGTATCAAGGATGCCTACGGCAGCGGCGTCCATCTTATTCTCGCCGACAACGGCCATGCGGATAACAATTCGCCTCCAAATTCGTCGCACCTCAGGCGTGAAAACTCTAATTCGAATTTGAGACGCCACGTGTCTCTTAAAAACATTTTACATTCCACGGAGAACGAAAGCATCGAAACAAGTACCACTAGAATGTCGAGCTTTGCGAACCTCAGCAAAAGCTCCGACAAGGGTATTAATCTCACATACATGGACCAAGATAAAGAGGATTCAAAGTACAGTGATAAGAAGCACGATCAGAGTAATGGCAATGGATTTGTTGAAAAGAAAACAACTTTTGCAACTCTGCCGAACATGACGACGTGGCAACAACAAAGTACTCAACAGAATCAACAAGTTGAAAAGAATTCCACAGGTTTGACAATTTCTGTAATTCTTGGGTATTTTTTTAAGTTCTAGAATTTAATTCAATCAATTTTTTAGATGAGAATGGAAGTACGGTCATGGCGTCGCAGTTGAACAATATACGATTAAAATTAGAAGAGAAGAAACGTCACATCGAAAATGAAAAGAAGAAAATGGAAATAGTCATGTCGAGACGAAGACAAAAGGTTGGGAAAGCAGCATTTTTACAAGCTGTTACGAAGGTTGGTGCGGGCTCTGTAATCTATCACTGTTCTGTTGTTTTTGGTTTGAAAGCTTCAAACCGTTTGTTTTTATTTTCAATTGTTTTCAAATTCCTATTTTGTTCGTAACAAACTGTCGCGATTCTTTTCTCTATTTTAGTTTCATGACCTTTATTCTAATGAAGTGATTGCATGACCCACACTTTTTATCACATGTGTAAATTATTTAGCACATTTTTATAATTTCGAGTGCATGGTTACTGTATATACGTTGTTTTTAACGTGGCTATTTTGTTGTGTGTGTGTGGGTGGGCGGGTGTGGGTGGGTGTGTGTGTGGGGGGGAGGGGGTGCATACATATTATCACTAGTGGAATTAACTTAGCATTGTTAAACTTCTCATTGACATACTTTTGTATTATGCAAGTTTCGAGATGTATTCGTAAGTTTTCAAAATATTTATAGAACATGTTAGTATTATTCCATTTGAATTTTAATTGAAAAACTATTCATGTAGTGCATTAAATTATACAATTAAATTCTAGCAATAATTTATTTGTAATCAGCAGTCAATTTCTTAAGTAAAATAGCGATGAAGTTAACAATAGCAAGAGATACGGTCGATGGGGATGGTGTTGTTTGTATATACAATGGTGGTGGATACTGTGAGTACTTAACATGGCACGCCTGTGGTTGGGTTCATTGCAGGGTAAAGTTAAGTCTCCTTCGTCGTCGACCTCCGGGGGAGATAGTCCTGTGGATGCGGGTACCCTAACTCCCCTTAGTTCAGCGCAGGTCGGAGAGTCGAGCATTATTGATGAGTGCTCGTCTTCCACTGCTTCCTCCATATCCCATCAGTTGCCTCAAGATAAACCTGAACGACCCTTCTCTCTTAAGGTATGATTGACTTTGTGCTCCTGAACGCACAGTCCTGAGAAAATTCAATTGCGTAACAAGTGGCATTCCCTTATAGAAATACGCATTCTTTAATTCAAAGACATTATTTTATTATCTCATCTTTTAATGATGAAACGAATAAAGTGCAGAAATTGAAATTTTTAATCTTAAGAGCATTGGTGGTTTTTACATATTAAATATATTCCTTTACAAAATAATGTACATACTTGTAATATTGCTTACGGTTGGCTTAAATTCACCTTTATAACGTTTAAAATGCATTAATAAACAATACATTGTTTAGTCAATATTAGAGCTTTTTAGAAAATAGAATCGATATAAACAATCGAGCATATCAATCATCATTATCATACGTCTTACGTTTGACAATATACTCACGAAAAATGAACAAACATTTTTTCTCAACCTATAAGATACAAGCACTGCACTTAAATTCACTATAATATATATACTTATTACGTCATTTCATATGCCGAGGCATGATTTTTTATGTTGAAAAGTTTTGCATTAGTAAGTTATATATTCCTGTTATTAAGTGTTAATTTGGTGGTGGTTATATCTGTGTAAATTAAGCTTGAAACTTAAATTTTATGTTTTTATAATTTCGTTTGTGGAATTGATGTTCCTATTTAAAAAGTGCATTTTAATGATATTAAATAATTAATAAATTTGAATATCTAATTGAATGTTTGGGTTAATCTGAGTTATACCAACATTTATCAAGTCAAGTACCGATTGATAAGTTAAGAAAGTGAAATATGTAGATGTGATAAAAAGCAAAACCTTGACATCTTATACAGTTACACGAGATACTGTCATATTGATCAAACAAAAAGACATTTCAGAAGTTACAGGGAGATTCACTCTCTGAAATGTTCTTGTGGTATATTGTCTTGGCTTCGATACATTTCAGAACACCTTTACTTTTGATGAATCTTTTGATGGTATCAGACTTTTCAATTTTTCACAATTGAATAATTTACTCGAAACTAGTCTTAACAGGTGTCAGAACTATAAAACCGTAAAAATTAATATATTTCAATTTATTTACCTGAAAAAATTCTTAATGAACTTAAGTGTAAATATTTTAATTTCAAAATTTTCTGTAGCTTATGTATATAAGTATTTAATTTTGAGAGTAACATCTATTATGGATTATTGGAAAATCTCAAAGTGCTTCTATTTGAAAAAACCGGTAAAAAGTCCTATGTATCAAAATTACGTTTATAATAAAAATGAGCAGACACATTAAAATAAAATTTTAACTCCAGGAAATTAGCGAAGATGTAAAAGATGTGGAGCACAAATGGCTGGATCAAGAAAATTCATTCGTGGAAACACGACGAACACCAGACATCGAAAATATGGATTACGATCAATATCATCAATCGTTGACGCAGTATGTATTAGAGAAAGTTTACTGTAATGTATGATTTGAATGCAATCATTTGTAATCATATAATTTTATATTTCAGAATGAACAACAGTCTAAGTGAACTGCAGCATGATATCCAGCGTTTGAATCAGCAGCAGATGCAAATCCAACAGCAGAATTTACTGGCTCAACAACAACAGCAAATACATCAACAAATGCAACAGTTCCAAAGTATGAGCCAGCAGCATTTACATGTAAGTTATTTAACATTATATCTGAGATTTTGTCTTAAAACAAAACAATCATGAGAATTCTTTATAGTCATATGGTATACCTCCACAACCTCCGATTCCTGCAAGGGTGCATGAGCCCCAGCAGTCACAATTTTATCTTCATGATCAACCACAAGTGCCAAGACGTACGTGGGGACAACCACGGCCAATTCATTTAGGAAATGATGTAGCTACTATTGGATATAATCAATCAATGGACTCTCGTTATGTTTCTCCTCCCGGTAAATATTCATTTAAAATAAAGCTAACTACGTTATTTTTATTAACATCATACTAACGAATATATGCATTTATAGTATACCAACAAGATCCACGGTTGTATCAAAATACTCAGCCGTGGGGTGTACCGATCCAGCAACAAAAGGGCTTCATTTTACACGATACATCACAAGAGCAGCGGTATCTTAATGGTGGAGAGCATAGTCTATCTAGTAATCAACATCATATGTCTTCGTATTCAGCAGCACAAACGCTTTTTAGTCAAACTCCACCGTCTTCAGCTAGTCCTCAACATCGTAATACTGTAAGTATTCGAATTATTTATCATTTTGCTTCTGTGACATCGTAAGACTGCTACTCTAGCTCTTAGCTTCCGCGCAATTATTTATACATGTGCTGCATACATTGGTGTACGTTCGTTACATTGAAAAACGTCTCAAATAGTCGTTTGACCACTGGATGGGTGAGCAAAACCAGTTGGTGATGTAATACACTCTTATAGGTTATAACACCCAAACGTTCGAATACGCAAACTCTTCCCACACGTCTTTACTGACTCGTAGGCTGTAAGCACACCTGTAAAGTATCTGTACTAGTATGTCAAACAAAAGCTACACTGTGCTTTGATCGCTATTGATATCAAATGTATCTATTTCATTTATCTGCCACTTAAACTAGAATAGCCTTGAGTATAACTAGTCCAAGTAGTTATCGCCTTGATGTTGACAGTTATAAGACGTGAGCTTAAATTAATAATTCTTGCACAAAATTAATGACACTTCTGATTGTTGACTTATTGTGATTATTTATAATTCGAGCTAGCTTTTTCATTAATAAAACTGTATCAAAACAATTTTATTTGCATCAAATAACCGATATATTTTCGGTGTTATACACATAAAATTAATTTTTAATGAACGTGATTAATGACTTATCAAATTTTTTTAGCAGGTTCATAGATTAAATCAGTTAATGAGTGACAGTCCTGATGTAAAAAGACAAAGTGTTCATCATATTCCAATGTCACATGAAAGTCCGTTAGAAAAGAGGATGAATTCTATGCCACCGGAAAATTTAGACTCTTCAAATAGGTCATACTTAGGTAAGTTTGTCAAATTTAATTCAAAATTGAGTTTGACCCGTAAATATATATGGGTGTAACATTTTAGGCAATGAAGAAGAATTCTCTCAAGGTTTTCGGAATTTGAATATCACATCCGGTAGTCGAACGTATAGGATACCATCACCAACAAGGCCATCAATATCGAGAAATTCGTTTCAACCGCATACATCTTTACGGGAGAAAACTCCATCGCCATCTAGTAACACAGCGGAGGTTGTGCCATTAGCCCCAAGTAATGCAGCAGAAAAGGGCTTTTATATATCTTTTGACGATGCGCCAAAAAAACCAAAGCCTTCCTTAAGAACAAAAAGAGCTTCGCCTAAGAAGGTAATTCTTCAAAAAACTTTATAACAATTATTTTCAACTATCTCATTTCACTGTTTTTTATATATAGGAAAGAAGCGTTTCCGCATATTTGGACGAGAATGACTATTTGCCGCGTTATGATTCACCGCCTGTCAATGCAACAATGGATAGGCCACGTCAAAGTATAGCACAAAAAGAAACGGAAAGAGAAAAGCAAATACAAATTGAAGAACGACAGCAGCAAGAATTAAGGGAAAAAGAGTTGCAACAACAGATGGCAAGAGAACGGCAAAGGGAAAAACTTAAAAGTGAAGGGTCGGATGGCCGTCAGAACAACAGTGTTGGATTGGTCATAGGTAACCAGCTTACTAATCCAGATCCTGTAAGTAAAAATTGTAATGGTATTAATGACTGTGTTTACGATTCTGATATTTACATTAAGTGTAATAATTAATTTTTAAAGAATTCCATTGATGAAATGGAGAGGAAGAAGGAAAGAATAATGAATTTGTCACTGCAGCGAAGGTTACAGCAAGAGGAATTGAAAGAACGGAAGGAAGCTGAAGCACAGGCGCGCAAAGAAGAAGAAAAAATGAAACAAGAAGAAAGAGAGAGGAAGAAAGAAGAAGAAAAAGCTCGAAGAGCTGCTATTTTAGAGCAATACAAATTGAAAAAGGCTATTGAAGAAGCCGAAAGAGAAGTACGTTAGTTTTTCATGCTAAGTGGACAACATTTACTCATCTGATAACACATCTTACAGGGTAAAGTAATTGACAAAGAGTTGTTAAATGCTTTAAAGCCAGCTAAATTACGGAATAAAGCTACTCCTAGTCGGCCACGGCCAAAAACGATTCACGTTGACGCTGGCGCGGAATTAGATTCTGGCGCATTGACACCTGCGAGAGGAAAAAAAGGCTCTTCCTCTAACCTCAGTACAGGTAATTTGCATGGTAATATAATCCATGTTTGTTTATATTTCTCAGAAACAATATGAACGTAATTCGATATGTACGCGAGATATATCTTCTGAGAAGTATATCCATATAGTTATTTACATAGCATTAGAAAGTTAAGCCCCGATTGTAAATGTGAATAGATTGTATGTAGTGAATTTTCAATGCCCGTTTGTCGCATGCTGCCAATGTTTTCAATTTTTTAATTATGCTATTTACTCTTTTCAATATGTTTTAATGTTTGTTTATGAATGATTTTATTTGTTATTTATTTATTTAAACCTACACAGAAAAGCTCAAAAACTCTGTCCCTCTATAATATAATAATCAGTGAAAGCTAGTTGCTGAAAATTATAATATATTATCGACAATTAAAAAGACGTAAATTTATATAATAAATTTTTACAAATGTATGCAATGTAAATAGTATTTGACATTTAGTGAATAATGTGTGTATCATTATGATGTTATGATGAAGTATTTCAAGTGGAAAAAATCACACATTCTTCTCTTTAATACGCTCTAGATAATTTCTGTGAACCGTTTCAATTCTAATGTGAAAAATAATGTGAAATGTTATTAAATAAAACTATTTACACGAAACATGTTACTTGTCGACAATCGAGACTATTAAAGATAAAAAATTGTTGGATAGAAATTTTGAGCTGATTAACATTGTTTGGCACTTGAAACACAATTTAGCATCGCTGACGTCACCAACGATGAGGCGAGACTACTACCGAGGTTCACAGGACAGCCTTACCGCGGTACATCTTGATGATCGGCGTTCCGGATCCCTTTATCGAGGTGGCAGCCTCAGGGGTATGCACACCTTCACACCTACACGAACATTAACTTCTCATAAGAGTATGCGCATATTGACACTAATCATTTTTTATCATAGTATACTCATATCGCTCTTATTTATAATGCTCATTAAAAAATGTCACCACCTTCACTTTCAACAAATATTCATACATGAATGGGCACACAAAAGATATCGTTCGATTGTCGTGAAAACTCATAATTGAACTCATATGAAAATTTGTAAACCTATGCACACATCGCAATGTCATATTTTCATACAAAATTGTAAAATCACTTTTTGTTTTTTTCGCACTGCACGCAAATCATCCGTATCATAGTAAAAGCTAGAAGAATCGATCGTCATAAATCGTTATAAATGTATCGCTCACATCGAATAATCCATTCTAACAATAGGCATAAGGCTTTTACTAACCATACTATAATAGTTTGTTACCCTATTTTAGTCTCTTCCGTAGATTCGCCTGACGACGGTAGAAGTTCATCGCCTTCTCGAAGCGGCAACCTGTTAGGACGACGTGGCTCGTACAAAACGTCACGAGGTGAGCTTTTTCTTTTCTCATTTTTTGATTTGCTTCAAAAATATATATACACTCGTGCATATTGCAATTAAATATGAATTTTTACGTTATACATGTCTAGTTCGATCCGTAGTTTTTGCAGGAACTTATGTGGATGGTATGAGCATATACATTTACGCATACATCAAGCAAATGTAACACCGTACAGACACGATACACCCGATTTTTGTTTGTTCTTTTCGTCTTTTTTTATTTTATTTTTCTTTCAACCTCGAATGATTTTTGTTAGCAAATAAGGTAGCTTGTTGTTTTTAGCTTTATTTATAAGTTGAAGCGCATCGTTGATCTGCACATGAAAGAAAAAACAATACGCACTGGCTATATGTATGTATGTATGTATGTATGTGTTATACTTAACGTTAAAATTTGCTGAAAAATAGCGAAACAATGTCTCTCCCCCAGATTGATATTCCTCTGTAAAAAAAGAAAGAAAAGTATTGAATGTTCGTAAAAGACAACGAGCTGCTCGAGACTAAGTGTAACACAACGGAAATGTTGCATATTATTGCAGATACGCCAGAACCTCAGCCGCAGGTTAGAGGCAGGCCTAAATACCCGAGTTACCAAAACTTTAAGGGAAGAAAGTCTAGTTCAATGATGAATCTGTGCGGTAAGGAGCACCTACAGTGCCTTGGACACACACACACATTTACAATTAATTCCCCTGATTAATTAATTGTTGATTATACTCCTTGGTTGTGTTTCGTGCTAAGTTTAACTTCTCTATGTGTTTTTTCTACACTTCATTACATAATACATCTCTCTCTAGGCCTTTGGCAATGAATAATAAAGACTATATATTTATTATACATAATCACGTAGTCGAGCATGGTGGCAGGTGGCTGATGATGATACGTCAGATACAAGTGGTGGCGGCCTTACTTATGAATAACACTGATACACACTTGCAGTCATCTCAACAGAGCACTTTTCTCTTGCCTTAATTTTTGTCGACTATACATTTTTAGCTTCGTATATGCATATCTAAGAAAACAGTCTTACATAATGCAAGACTTATAAACACATCGTGACTCATGAACATCTTGCTGATTAGCTCGACTGACATCAGCTTTTAATTATTAATTATGTTGTCATTTTTCCTAGATCACGTATTTATTCGGCTATTGAAGAATCACATTTTTCCTTCCTATTCTTACAATGATATACTATTTAGGATGGCTTTTGTGCAAGGCTGTAACTAGTAAGAACTATTATATACTTGGTATTAAGGAAAATAATCACTATTTTAGATTGCTACGAAGGCTTGTTCGGCTTACGTAGTTGTGTAATGGTTATGGGCGCCGTTGTTTACATAAGTGTCTTTCAGATTATCAGAATGGTTCCAGTATATACATTGAACTGTGCAGTTTGCTAATACTTAAATTTTAGACATTGCCTTATATCAATTAATGTTAATAAACATATATGTGTACGGCTCGTTTACAATTAGCTATAACATCGACACGTCATCCATTCGTCATTTTAGAGTCATTTATTAAAAGTAAAAATAATATCAAAGTGAATATTTTCATTGAATCACTCAAATCATTAACGCATATACTTTGAAATCGAAAGTGTTCTTAGAGTAAAATTATTAAGTAATAGTGAATTGATTAATTTTATATCAGTAGACACTACATCTCATTCAGTGTACAATATTTGTGATTGGTTCCGCTGGGTTTACTCACAAACGGTGACGGTTTTACCCATTTAACATTAGTGGTATGTTGATTGTAAACGAAAGATATAATGAGGTGTGAGGCATCTTGGGTTGTTTTATTTATTTTGTTTTGTCACATCACAACTTGAAAATCAAATAACCGATTGGAATGTTCATATGGAGCATTATTTTTACGTGCAGATACAGATAGCGGACTTGGTAGAGCAACGCCACCGAGACGAGCGCCAAGCCCGGGCATGGGTAGCATGCGACACCTTCCTTCACCCTCGGGACCCGGATCCTTGCCACCTGGGCTCATGACGAAGCGAAGAGTCTTTGACGACGGCAGCAGCGACATCAGCAGCACGCCAAGTTCTATGATGGATTACAATGGTCGGACATATTTGCTTTATTGTCTCCTATTTGAGTAAACACATCAATTGCTCAAATGTGCTCGTCAATGCTGCAGGTCCACGGCTGTACAAGCAGCCAGCAACAAAGTCAAACAGGAATATCATGTTGAACGCTGTGGAATATTGCGTGTTCCCGGGTACAGTTAATAAGGAGGCGAAGCGAAGGGTGCTAGACGAGATTTCAAGATCGGAGAGCAAACATTTTCTCATACTCTTCCGTGACGCTGGATGCCAATTCCGAGCTCTCTATTCGTATTGTCCTGACCGCGAGGAAGTCAGTAAACTGTACGGAACTGGACCGAAGCAGGTCATCGACAAAATGTTCGACAAATTTTTTAAGTAAGTTTCTTTATATGATAAATTATAATATTATCATTTTATTGTCGCTTATCGCTCCAATTTGCAGATACAATTCCGGCGGAAAATGTTTTTCCCAAGTTCACACGAAACACCTGACTGTCACCATAGACGCCTTCACGATACACAATAGCCTCTGGCAAGGTAAAAAGGTGAATCTACCAAACAAAAAGGATATGGCTCTCGTCATATAGTTTTACACAAAAAAACGAGTTTAATATAACGCTACTGTGCCCTTTGTTGTTCATAGTTACTATTTTAATACAGGCCCATATTAAATTATAATGCAAGCGTTGCGTTCTTAGTCAGTTTTATATCGGAAATTATAACGTAGGCGGAGATTGCAACAACTAAAGTTAAAAAAAAATTAATAGGAAACTTGTCATCAGTCGGTGCTGATACCTATGCATGGAACGAATGATTATTTGGATGTGCATACGTTTTTGCGCGTTAATTTTATAAAGAATACGTTGTTCACGGCTTTTTTATTTTTATCACGATTTCGGCGTCAGCACTAGTTTACATTATATACTGTTACGAGACATAGGTATTAAAAATATAGCAATTGTTTATTGTCTGCAAGCTAATCTCCCGACGACTAACTCGTAATCGCGATGTTTCATCTTGTTATCTCGCATAAGTCTATACATATAGTTAGCTAGTTAGTTTAATGTATCTGTACAGTTTATACATAAAACTTTTTACATTTCTCCCTTCGATTTTTGTCGAACCCCCTCCAAAAGATTTAATTAAATTTAATTACATCGCAATACAATATAGTATTTATTTCTGTTAGCCTTTTTAAACACAATTATTAACTATTACGCACTAAAACAATACCTCATTTGCTTGATAAATTCATTATAAATTCTCACAACTGGCTCTCCTACACACTCGTTTTGATTGTTCTTAACATTATGCGTCACTTTTTACATATAACTTTTTAATACCGTTACTAATCAAAGCAACATTATTTCGTATATTTAAAAAAAAAACAATTGTTTACTTTAAATATTTCTTAATGTTTAAACTTCGTTTCCAACTTTCGAGCAATTAAAACAGTGTACTTAAATATTATAATTTATATACCATGACATTTATTTTATATATGTACATACATGCTTATAAATTTATGCTATTTTTTGCGCAAAGAAATGAAATTTATTCAACTTTTTTACAATAGTATTTCTTCCGCTAAAATTAACAGGTAGAGTACGGTTAACGACTGAAACCTTGATGTACGTTAGTTTAGTTAAAGGATTTCTTTGATAATTTATTCAATTTATAACAAAGACTTTTATAATAATAGCAAATGTAGGAGTAATTTTTTAGATAATTTCATTGTAACAATCAAGCTGATTTTATTTTCAAAGTCAACTGCCTATTCTCGATCAACAGAAATTCTACATATTTTATCAAATAAATATTTTATGAAATATAAGCTAAGCAAATTTTTTTTATAACAACTATTGTATATGAACGACTGTTTAAAAATGACTGTCTTGCATTTCAAAGCATTGAATACAATGAGAATCATTCTGAATTTTATTATAAAGTACTTACGAGATTAGTCAAATTTCTTATACGTTTCGAAATTAAAAGATTGTTCACGAAAATGTTTCTAACTAATGTGATAGAGTTTACTGTGATTCTCATCTATTTGAAGTTGTGGTGAAAATCTGCGACTTTCAGTGAATTCATCAAAAATGATGAAAATAATAATTCTGCAGGAAAGAATTGAAAATTCATAAATCTCATGTTTATAAAAATCACGAAAGCAAAAATCAAATTCATTCATACACTTAAAAAACGTATTAATGAAATGTAAACAGTAATTCAGGTATGAATGTTGTGAATAAAATTGTATGCCGATTGACGTATTTAATTCTCTGGCATATTGCTTCTTGATCTAAAGCATTAAAAATTTCACATTCCCATTGGAAATTGTAGACTTATACAACAAAAGGTTAGAAGTGACATAAATAATGTGCAACATTATTCAACAAATCAATGTAATTTTTAATTTTGCTTTATCATTTTTATTAAAACTAAAATTTGTGCCATATTAGCAATAAATTTGTAAACAATTGCATAAGCAAGTAAAAGCAAATGAAATTTTATATTGAATATATATGTATATTCAATATATATATTCATATATATATATATATATATATATACATGTATTAATACATAGAAACTTAAATACTACGCTCAATCATCATGTAAATAACATTTTGTGCAAATAATGCAGTATTCAACAGTGAATTAATGCACAGTTGAACTGTTTTCGAAACCAACTGTAGTTAAAGATTTGAATAATAATATTCATTGACTAAGTAAATGATTATGCTGGTAAAGCCTTGTGGCAGAGAATTAATGTCGTTGAGAAATAAAACATTTATCTTAGTCACTAATTTTAAGGATCGGTAATCTGTAATCCTAAAAAGGATGAAAAATATATGTGTAAGTTGAAATATTTGAAGAAAAACCGGTAATTTCCAAAAGTTCTGGTTATTGCTTGCGCTTAATATCGATATTTGTAAAATTAATATTTAAAAAATATTAAAGCTTTATGAAGTTGTTTGAGAAAGAAAATCGAAACGATAACTCACTATAAAATAGCTTTTTATGAAGCGCCCAAACAAGAACAAAAAACAAAAAAAACTGAAAATATACTCAGCATTTGCGCACTGGACGAAATTACCCATAATAATAATAATCACATTACTGTGTACCGCAGTTATAATTTCAATCGCAAGGGAAAGAGATGTTAGTCGTGAAATAATTTTACATCCATGTCTGTAAATATTTATGTTTTTATATGTATACATAAAAACGAAAAGTGAATCGCTATATATATATATATATATATATATATATATATATATATATATATATATATATACACACACACACATATATATATATATGTGTGTGTGTGTGAAATATAACGCGTAAGATTCGGAAAATTATTTACTGTTAACATCTATCAGCGAACGTCATTATAACAACAGTGAAATAATTAACTCAATGCGATCCGGGAATTTTGTATCCGAACCTTGTAGCAGATACTATCCCTTGAGATGACCTACTAAAAGCGCGATTGTCAAGAACTCAATTCATTTAGCTTTTAAGTGTATATATGTATAACTTGAATACAGATAAACCATTCTTTGAAAATCCCTTAATTTCAATTCTTTTTGTCCTTTACACATCTTGGGCATTGAATATTTTTCATCTTTTCTTAATTTTTTTCCAATTATGTTTAATAATCTCTGCAATAATTTATAATCTAATTTATTTTTAAATATAATGCAGATGACGAAGTGACCTAAAGTGATGGGCGAACAAACAAAAAGTTCGGCACGAAAAACAATTTTAGTTCTAGTAAGTTGTAACGACCGTCCCAGTCTTGTACTTCCGTTAAAGCTCTTTAGTTTCAATTGAGTTGGATAGACTGGAACTTCGCCTAGTACTAATCTACGTTGATACAAACGCAGTTACCTTGCATAGACCGTATGGAAAACGCTTATCTTGAGATACCGGATCAAGCCAACACACCTTGCATGGACAACACATAACTTATCAGTTTTAAAACTTAAAAATATATTAATTGTATCAACAATTACAAGTAAGTTTTCCGTCAACTTGAATCACTACTTTAATTTATTCATGCATAAGGAAAATTTTTACTATGCATTGTTTGAAAACACATGGAATGGGCAATTTCTACTTTTTATTTAAAATTGCTTAGTTCTAAAAGAAACCATAAATTATGCCGTCGGTTTTCATGAATTGAAAGTTATTTTGATGAAGACTGGAATATAATAATTTCAATTGTGTTTCTGTTGCAATATTTTCTAAATTTTCTTGACAATTTTATATGTGCCCATTATCCCATCAAGTTCAAGACGGGAGCTTTTCCAACATTTTTTTCAACAGCGTGACAACTACCTAATCGGTCCTATTTTTTTATATACTCCAAGTTTATTTACAATCTATCTATGAGAAAATAAGTAAATATGTTTACTGTTATAAAATTAACAATGTATAAAACATAATATTCCAGTTTATTTTTGACCTATATGTGTATTATATTTTATTAATTTTGGTTTTATTGTATATTGATTAGTTTATGTTTCTTTAATCTGGTAGTAATAATCGTCGTCGTGAGAAGTTTGCTAATAAGCTATTTTTGATGGTTTTTCTTTTACTGATGGTATCTGTAGATCATTCCTAATGATGTCATTTGGTACAAACCATGGGGCCTGTGCGATAGTTCTTTATATTTTAGATTGGAATCTTTCTAGAATTTCAATGTTTGAGTTTGAAGCGGCACCCCATATTAAATACTATAAGTCCAGATTCGTTTAATTATCGTTTTGTAAAGGAGTATTTTATTTTCTATTGTAGGCTCTAATTTTTTTCCAAATATGTTTTCTAAATATATGTTCTTTCTATATAAGCCTCTGGTTTAAATAAATCCCCAGGTATTTCACATGACTGCTTTGTGGTATGTGTTTATCGTTGAGTTTAATAGGTGGACAAGTGTTTCCTGAGTATGAAAGTTGTATATGTATTGATTTACTTTTTTAATTTAATTCTTCATGAGTTTAGCCAGTTTTGTAGATAATTATTTATATAATTTTGTATTCTTTTCGTTGTAATTTTTCTTTCGAGTGCATTGTGATAATGGCTGTGTCGTTTGCATATGTTTCCGTCATAATGTTTGGAGATTTTGGCAGATCAACGGTGAATAACAAGTACAATGTTGGTCATAGTGCGCTGCCTTGCGGTACTCCTGCTTTTATTATCTGTCTTTTTGGTGTTTTTTATTTATTTTGACTTGAAATTCTTTATTTTATATAGGTATGACTTAAGTAATTCATAGTGTTTTTCTGAGAAACATCTTTTTAATTTATGTAGTACACCTTTATGCTATATACGTTATCAAATGCCTGTGCGACGTCAAGGAATATGCAAGTGCAATATTATTTTTTTCATAGATTTTCTTGCAGCTGATACTATTCTATTGACTTGTTCTATCGTGGAGTGCTTGCATTTGAAACCAAATTGATGATCTAGGATAAGTTTTCTATTTATTATTATTGGGTTAATTTCAGCTACAATTATTTTTCCAAAAATATTTGATAATACAGGCAGAAAACTAATCGGTCTACGAGTATATGACGTCACCAGTTCAGTTATTTTAATAAGTTTAGAAATTAAAATAATCTCTACCACTTTCTATTAAGTAGGAAAATAACACAGACGAAGATATGCATTAAAAAATATTGTTAAATATCTTATTGGTATAGTAGGTAGCTTTTTAATACTTTTTCCTGTAATATTATCAAAACTGAATGCTTTTTTGTTCTTTAAATTTTTGATAATGAATAATACTTGCTTTATTTTTACTACTGCAATTGGTGTACTGTCTTGGACATTCAGGTCTTCTAGTAAGGTGTCCTCTTCTTGTTCGGTGATTATTCTTTGATAAGGTTTGAATACTATGTATTAATGGTTGGCGTATCAATTTTGTCCTCGTCTGATCGAGCCCATTCGCTACAAGGATTTCTGCGATAGGTGGAGTAAATGATGTTAGTCTATTAAGTCTCTTGGTAGCTTTCCATAATGAGTAATCTATTGCTTCTGTTGGGCTCAGTTCTCTTAGTTTCTTTTGCGTTTGTGAGTTTTTTTCTTGATACAGTCATTTTTTTAATTCTTTGACAGCTTTATTTAGTTTTGTTTGACCTTGGCTCAACTTTGTTATACGGTATCTTTTTGTTAATAATATTTTGTCTTTAATTTTTACAGCTATTTTATTTGAAGTGAATAGTTGAGATTTTTTAATATTTAAAAGTGTAGCTGTTATTTAGAACTTCAGTCAAGAGTAGGTTGAGCGTTTTAATACCGTTTTCTATTTCAATATCTGATTTGAGAGGTATTTTACATATAAGACTTTCATCAATAGAAAGAGAATATTTTTTTCAATTTGTTTTCATATAACTGTCAACTGTCGTGATCACTTTGCGATTTTAGCGTCGATGACGATATTTCGGAAAATTTTTCATTTATTCCTTTTACAATTGCAAAATCTATCAGATCTGGTAGTTTATTTAAATCTATTGGCCAGCATGTCGGTTCTCCAGTAGATATTAGGATGCAGTTGTTTTTACGTAGTGTTTCATCTAGTCCTTCACCTCTATGGATTGCGGCTTGTGATCTTGATCCCGACCATGGGTGCTTCGCATTATAATCGCCTCCTGCTATTCAATGATTTCCTAGTGAATAAAAGAAATCTGACTGATTTTCCTTTGTTATTGTTTTGTTTGAAGAACAGAATACAGCTGACATTGTTATCGGGCCTTTGTTGTCATTTATAATTACACTGATTGCTTGCATGTATATTTCACTAGTGTACGGGTGTACGTAATGATTTATATTTGTTTTAATAACGATTGCAGTGCCTCCGTTTGCTTTATCGAGTGGATGATTTGTATTGTGTACCGTGTAATTTGGAATGTATAGACGGTTTTTGCTTGTAAAGTATGTTGCTGATAATAGCATGATGTCGATATTTTGATGAATTAGAAATGTTCTTAATTTAAGATGTCTCTTTATAAGACCATTTGCATTGCAGATAGCAATATTAAAATTTTTCACTATACTTTTCTATTAACGAGTATGATTAATAAATTTAGCATTGTATTCATTCTTTGTATCAGCTGTTTCATCATATGTTCGAGTTTATTATTTGTGTTTACTTCGTTGGTATGTAAACGTTGCTTGGGCAGCTGTTTGTTTTTTTGATATTTCTATCTCACTCTGATCGTATTTTTTATATATTACCTATATATATGTGGCGGTCGAGCCCCGGTTGGTGCCGCCACCTGCGGGCCTGAGTCAGCGGTGGGAGAGGCGCCTCTGGTTTGAATTAGCCGGATTAGGAGGCGAAGCTTAGGGGGTTTGATGGCTAAATAATCCAGTTAATCTGGTCATCCCTAAGCGGCTCATGCGGATCAAACTCCGGCCTGGCGGCCTATATAAGGTCGCCCATCGCAACACGCGGAGTTCAGTACTAATCGAACTGCTGCCCGTCGTCAACCCGATCGCCTTCGTCATCGCCTACAGCCGCTACCAAGAACACGGCAGGACACACCATCGCCGCCAAGGAACGCCATCGTCCACTTAGCCAAGCGTCAGCCGCTCTTTTCAAGCAGGCTTGCCCTGCTTGTGACGCTTACGGCCCCCGACGCGGACGAGCTGCCGCACGTCGCTGTACTACGCGATATAAAAAGGAAGAATAAAGAGTTTTCAGTGCCTGGGAAGAATTCGAGTCTAGCGTGATCTTCCGCGTATTCCCTACCACTTCCTCTATCCGTGACGAGTGTGGGTGCTCTCGCCAACAACAGCCAAATATATTATATTTGGTGTAACTGTATTGACGTTAGCATTTAAATTTGAATTTGGATTTTGATGGACTTGTATGCTATTTTGATTTAATGTTTTTTCTTGTAATCTAGGAAATAGTTTTTGCTGTAATTGTTCACGAACTGGTCATCCTTTATAATATGCGGTATGATTTCCTTTGCAATTTACAGCAACTAATAAAGAAAGCAAAAGGCGTGAAAACGCATACTGTCAAAAAAAAAGCCAATTGATCATGAAGATTATCGAAACTGTTTATTGGAATTAGAAATTATTATGCGTGAGCAATGCAATATACGTAGTGTATATTTTTATAAAAATTTTTAGACTCAAGGAATGATTTTAGTTGTTTTTTATGATTTTTTTTTATTAGTTTGCAGAGATTTGTCAATGATATTGGTCTATAGTTTTTTGGGTTGAATTTATATTTGCCGGATTTTGGTATCGGAATAATCATTGCTAGTTTCTATTGATCTGGAAAAATTCTTTCAGCCTAGATTTTATTGAATATTTTATGAATTAGTTCAATTACAGATCAAGATAGATTTTTTAGTATTACATTCGGGATTTGATCAGGTTCCGAACTTGAATTTTTACATAGTTTAAGTGTGTTAATAATTTCAGATATTTCGATATTTTTGATAAGAATTGAGTCTTCAAATTCATCTTCATATTAAATGTAATCGATTTTCTTGTAATTATATTTGTATGTTAGGAATTCTTGTTTATAATTTTTATCACTTGAATTATCAGCGAAGGTATCTGCTAATTCATTTGCTATTTCGTATGAGTCAAAAATTATTCTGTTATTGTTTTAGCATAAAAATTCTATTCTAATTGAATTTGCCTTGATTCTTTGACATTTTTTCCATATAATTGGTGTTGGTGTGTTACTATTCAGTTCAGAAACAAATTTCAACCTATAAGCAACTTGAGTATTTTTATATAATTTTTTGGTAATAGTTTTACGTTTTTTATATTCTATTTTATTTTATAGGATTTTATGTTTTTTTATAGCAAGTGAAGGCGTGTTTAATCATTTTATTTGCTTTTTCACATTAGGGATTCAACCATGGCACTTGCTTTTTTATTGAATTTAATCTTTTTGATAGGAATCGCTGGATCAGCTGAAGTTAAAATGATATGGCTGAGTTTGTCAATTTCTTCATTTACTCGTAGTTCACAGATTTGTGAATTAATTTGAAGTTCTATTAGTTTATTTCTTACATCTGATTGGAAGAGAGGCCAATTTACTGATTTGAAATTATAAATTTTTTGTTGATTGGAAATTATTTCATTTTGTCTAGGAGTAAATGTATAAATAGTACTTCCTATTCTAATTATCTGTTGCTACAGCTGATGCTACAGATTAATCAATAGCACTCAAATTACCATTTACAGCATTAAATCTTGTAGGAGCATTCAAGTTAAGCAAGTTGATTTTTGGGTTGTTTAAGAATTTTTCAATTTTTTTACCTCTTTCATCAGTAGTTTTGCATCCCCAAGAAACATGGTGAACGTTAAAGTCACCTATAATAAGAAAAGGTTTAAGCAATTGAATTTTCAAAAGTTCTAGTTGCTCACAGTCTATTTTTTGGCTATTAGGTGAATATATATTGCAAATTATCAATTTATCTAGGAGGAAACATTTAACTGCTACTTCTAAGTCAGAGTTCACCGTTAATACATTTGAATGTATACTATTTTTCACAAGGTAACAACTCCTCCGCTTGCTTTCTTATGACTTATTTGATTTTTATAAAAGCTATCATCATAGCCCTTCATTGAGATGCAGAAGGCGTCGCACGCCTGCCTAAACCTAATAGTTCGTGCATGTGCTCTCTCTCTCTCTCACTCTCTCTTTCTTTTACTTTCTCCTTCACTGCATCTTGAAGGCATTCTCCTTCGGGCTTGCTCAACCTTACCCAGCGATCATCGGTGGCTGAAAAAAAGGCCAGTTAGGCGCATTTTCATTATGCGTCCAACGCTGGCCACTGTCTTGCCGAGAGCAGAGTAAATTGAGGGACAGTAGACGAAGCACAAGCAAACTACTTGCCAGTTCGATTTTCCACGTTTCGATCGAAAACGATTTTCCAGTTTTCGTTGTTTTTATTAGGAGTGGTAATGTGCGTGCTGTATTCTCTTGTTGAAACAAAAATCCCAAATACTTATTGTAAAAAACGTCGACTGTGTACATTCTCGCTCTTGACGAATTAGGCATGCGTAGGCCATGAAATAAGCTTCGAGGAGGTTAACACGCGCGCAGACAGGTCCGGTAATAAAACACCCGAAACTAAATTTTAGGAAACTCGTATATGCTCGTCCCGCTGACTCTTACTAAATTAAGATAATCGCGCGGAGGGAAATTGCACTACAGGCGCGCACATGAAACGATTATGTGTTGCGAATCTGGAAAGCGTGCCTTGTTCGATCTGCGACCAAGCTTTAGTTAAGGGAATAGATTTTAAGAATATATGTAAAACTACGGTAGATTATAAGTGCAACATGCAATTGCAGATGCAAAGTATGAAACACATGTAAGAGATGCCTATTAATTCCGAATTTTGCAGTAACGTCAAGGTCCAACGCGAGAAAAACAAAAAATCTATATATCCTTTCTTACCTCTCGATCTTGACCCATGGACATGGACGTGCGCATTGCCGTGGCGCCATACATCAGATCCGGCAGCAGGAGGGAGGGGAAAGAGACGACCAAACCAATTAAAGGGCGGAGCAATTGTGCGCACTACTCCAAGGTCTAATGAGGGTGGTAGTTTTGGGAAAAGTTAGCAGCGCCGCAAGGGCGGGGACAGAGGAGAGCATCGAGGCCCCCTCTCGATCTCTTGGAAAAATGGCATTCTGGATTTTCCTTTGGACGAGGCAAGTCGCTTTCTCTGCTAGTGTCATCAAGCGCGCCTCGCGCGCTAATCTCTCGTTTCTATTGGTATTGAATTTCATGATTGAATCAAATTAAAAATATTATAAAATACACCGCATACATAAAATAGTTCTTCTATACTTTAACATGCTCAACATCCGTCAACTTTAATTTCCCAAGAAAAATTAAATTACATTAATATTCACAGATTTAATTATAATTTCAAATGCAATAACGTAGCAGATCACTAGATGTTCGCTAATTAACCATATATAATGGGCAATGTATTAAGTTTCTTTCTCCTTCGTCTCTTTCAAATATCTAATACTGTCAGCTGCGCCGGAAAATTTAATTTTCTTTGTTTTCTAATATATTTATCTACGAATTAGAACTTTTTGTAGGATATCTTCATATCAACAGATGTTTCTTCTTTCAAGTTTCGACTCGTTTGAAACAGCACTTTTCGTGAATTCTATTTCAACATTTTCACTTTTAGTTACATTACAGTTATTTACCTATCTATCCGTAACAATTTTAAGATTCAATTTACATTCATAAGTATAATTAACAATTTTTTTCAATACATTTCTACACCACATCAGCCAAAGTTAGTTCACAGTATTTTATTTATAAAATAATCTATCGATTTAACTTTGTAACAGAGATGTTCAATAAATTTATATGTTCTAAGAATAAACTTAAGAGCATTAAAACTGTTTTATTATATTATTTTAAGGTTAGGCCGTTGAGTGAATGTGAACATTATTCTTTTTAATCCCTACGAAGTCTCTTACTTATTTTTTATTAATTTGATTAAGGGGGGGGGGGGGCAGCTATAGTGGCTCAAAATAATTACTCAAGTCAGAGGTTAAGTATACAACAAAATATTGTAATTAATTGTGGTTATTCTTAATTTTATTATAAATATAAAATGTGTTGAAAAAGTTTTTAGACGTAATTGATAAGATTTATTATATTATTTATTATTATTACAGGTTATAGATAATGATTTTTGAAGATCTCATTGATGTGTTAAATAACTTATTTATAAATAGCGAAGATTCTTCTTTTAGTTCAAGCGATGACTTCAATTTAATTTTTGATGATGATGATTTCGATGGTGAGCCTAGAAGAAAGAAACCTCGAGCTGAAAATGTTATTGAAGAAGTAATTGATAAATATAATGATGATGAATTCAGAGAAAATCACAGGTTTGAGTGAATAACTATTACTTTATTCAACGCAGTAACGTTTAACAAAATCACAATTTTTTTCAAAGTGAAACTATTTTTTCTAAAATGAGTAGAACAATATTTGAAGTAGTTTTACAAATTATCACACCAGATTTGAAGGGGAACCCATACCATCTTGGAAATAAGCCGATACCTGCGAACAAACAATTGTACATTGCATTGTACTATTTAGGGTCGCCAGACTCGTATAGGTCAGATACTATTTTTAACGTTTTATTTATATAATTATATATTTTCATAGAATTTGTTTCTATTATTTGTTTTCTACGACACGCAGGTGAATTATTAACAAATTTGATGTCGGTAAGGCTACTGCTTGGAGAGCAGTCAAGCGTGTCGCGAGAGCATTGTGTAATCGAAGAGACCAATTTATTCGATGGCCTACGTCAGATGAAGCTATTGAAACTGCAGAAAGCATACAGCATATGTACGGTTTTCCTGGAGCTATTGGTGCTATCGATGGAACTTTAATACAAATAGCTTCTCCATACGTTGACGCTGAAGCCTATATCGATAGGCATAGTCATCATTCAATTCAAACACAAGTAATATCAACATATAGTATCTTTGATAAAGATTTTTTAATCCATAGTAACATAATTTAATTAATTATTGTGCAGGTTGTTGCAAATGACAAACTCAGATTTTTACATGTTTTCACTGGAGCTCCTGGTTCAGTCCACGATATGAGAGTATTTAAATATTCCAATATACAGCGAAGGTGTAACAATTACTTCATTCCAGAAAATTGTCATTTGTTAGGCGATAAAGCTTATACTCTACAAAAACATATTATGGTACCATACAGAGATAATAGCCATCTAACAGTAGAAGATAAATTTTTCAATAACCGTCTGTCAAGTGCGCGAATGATGGTAGAAAGAGCTATTGGTCTGCTAAAGGGACGCTTTCGCATTTTGTTTAATATTCCGATGAGAAGAACGGATTTAATTCCGTATTATATTTTAGCTTGTTGCATACTCCATAATATATGCTTGATGGAAGAAGATGATTTTAAATTTTTATATGAACCTGAACACTTTATTGATGATGAAATTGAAGCCATGGATATAACGCAAGAAGCGCAACTTGAAGATGAAGAAAATCGCGATAGAATACGCAATCAATTAGCTAATTAAAAAAAATTAATTTTTTCAAAATAAAAATACTGTATTATTGCATTGAATTTATTTTAGAATATATAAATTATACTAGATATTTTATAAGAATAAATTTATAAGTTAGGCAACTTATTAGAATGTAACAATCACTGTTAATACAGAAACTTGTTATAAAATCTGTGTAATAAAATTATAAAAGTATAAACATTTTCTTAAGTATGTTCCTAGCTTCTTAATAAAAAGGTTACTAGTATTATCTAGTCAATAGATTCAGATTTTTTTTGTTTTAATAGATCTATAAAGCCTTGCATTTTTGCCAATTTTTGCTTTTGATAATCCTCCATCAATTTTAACTTCTTATCCCCTTGCTTTAACTTTTCCTTCATGTAGTTTTGTCTTTCTTCGTTAAAATCTACATTCGATTTTCTTTCTGCAAAATAATTGATTTAGTATAATAAAAAGTATAATGGTAGTAACCACTTTTTTCATCAATACTTACTTTCTTGTTTAACATTGTTATGGCTATTTAACAACGAATGGCCAATGGTAAATCGTTCAAATCCTTCATTAGGATGTTAGATGCAATAGTTTTCTTCTTTATTTGTGCCCACGGTTTCTTAGAAAAAAGACTATGCAAGACCTGAATGTTTGTATAATTAGTAATATATTCAAACATAATATTTATCGTTTTTTTAATATTTTGCAACAAGTACTTACATCATAGAAAGTACAATATTTTTTATTATTTCCAGACTTATTGTTATGCTCTAAACACTATTTATACTTGCTTTTGAGGGCATCAACTTTCTTTCGACATTGAGTTCCTATGACAAAATAACCATACTCTTCAAAATCATTTGCTATATTCTTGTAAAATATGTCATTGAATGTATTTTTATGATATTTTGAGACGTTCTTAAAAACAGTAAGAAGAAATTCCGTTTGCGGGTCTGTCCAACGCGAAATCACTTTCAAGTCTATCAATATATAGATATACATCATACATTATAGTTTAATGGAAATTTACACAATTTAAATAAAGCAATTATAAACAGTATATGTGCGTGCGTGCGTGCGTGCGTGCGTGCGTGCGCGTGTATAATTTAATAGAACTCACTAGCATCATTTGTAACTTGTTTCTCTAATTTGTTATCTGTGATAGTATCAGAACAAGAAGACTGCTTTTTAATTATTTTCTGATTTGTCTCGTCCAGTAATGGATTATAATTCAATTTCCTATCAGTTTTAAATTTATTCAATAGATCAATTCCATAGGAAGGATCTGAAAAAGATGTATATTTAAATATATTAAAATAATTTTAGGTTTACAAAACATAGTATAAAATACCTCTTGTAGCAGCAGCATGTTGTTCTCGGGTAAGTCACATCCTGTATATTTTATATTTATGTTTAGGATCTTATATGCTGAATTCTATAAATTCATTTTCATTGTCTACATTAGAACTTTCTATTAACAGAAAAATAATGTTCATTAAAAAAAATAAATTACGTAATATTTTTAATTTATATAGAATAAAATAGTTTGTAATTGAAAAATACATTACCTGATGAATCAATCTTTTTGTCAAATGATTTTGAATTAATAACATCAGGTGAAGTACTTGCAGATTTTTGCTGTTCCAAAAGCAGATTTGTTTTTAATACTCTATCTTTTTTTATTCTCTCAAAAATCTGCATTGCAAAATTATCATCTACAATGTTTTTATGGTTGAACAGATATGTACATATTTTCCAAAATAAAGATATCTTATTCAATATTTACCATACCTGTCATGGCTTTCTCATACATCTTTGGGCTCACCGTAACTTCATACTTTAAGTTTGCTTCAAAGTCATGTAAAATTAATACTTTTGTTGTTGCTCTGTCAGATGATGAAATATTAACTGAATTTGAGGAATTTTCATTATTTTCCTCTTGTTTGTACTCACTCCTTTGTGTTTGTGACTTAATCATATTGGTAATCTCTTGAGAATAAGTCCACCTGCAAAATTTTTATGATTAAGTAATTACGCTTATTTACAATTCATAATTTGTATGTGCAGTATAGTATATTTAAGTTTAATAAAAGTAATAAATCATAAAAAAGCTCAGTAAATACTTATGCGATAAATTTCTTACATCTCAAAGTCATCTGATGTACTTCTTCAGTGGCTAAAATCTTATACGATTTCTGATTTGTATTATCTATAATGTCAATATCCTCTGAGAAGTCTTTGACTCAGTCTCTCTACTTTGAGAAGTTTCACCGCTTAACTCAGTCTTACTAACTATAAACAAATATATGTATAAATGATACTTTTTCTACAATTTGGTACATGTTGTAAAGATACACAATTAATTTACCATGTTTTACAGGATAAACTTTTTCATCCAGCACAGTTACATTTTCATAGCTAAAAAAACATCTATGTTCTGAGTTACACAATTCTTTTAGTGTATTTATGGTGTTATACCATCCACATTGTATTACCTGAAACATTGTAATATTGAAATTATTAGTGATTGTACAATTAACATTATATTTAATAGAAAAAAAGATATACTTTATCACAATCATCAAATTGAAAGCTATTCATGTTGTTTTTGTAATCAAATAGGTTACATTGAACTCATAATCAGTCTTGGGTAAAAAGTCACTCAATTTTCATTCACTGATAAATTTATAAATCAGTTTTTACATTAACTAATAACTTATGCTTATAACATAAAAACCATCAAAAGGTAGAGGAAACAAACAAAAGAAGAAACAAAAATCGGAAACTTGCAAGTTGACGCATGCTCGCATTGAAAATAAACCCGCGTGATCGACTTTTACCACGTGATCAGAAAGCGACGTTGCCATAAATGATTTTGCTATCCTTTGCGGAACTCACTCTTAGTAGGCTATCATCATTTTCTTACATAGGATTGGCATAAGTGGCACAAGTATTTACGCCTTTGCGCTTAAGAGGGGCGGAAGGGTCGAAAAAATAAAAAATAGATCTTATTTAAAAAAAATATTTTATTAAAAATTTATCTTATTTACATGAAAAATATTTTATATGATTACATTTTTTCAAAGATTTTTTAAGTACATTTTGTGGCCCTGAGAAGAGCCGATTAAGCGAAGGGAGAAAGAAGAGCTTAGTCGAGCTCTATTACTTCTATTTCCCTGTCTTCGTTGACTGGAAGATTCAAATATATAACTATGTACATATATATATTGTGGTCTATAAAATATAATTAAAAATTAAGTCAATAATTTTTAATAGGGAATGGAATTTACTTGAAATTCAACGAACAAAAAGATTCACGGCTTTATATTTAAAATTGAATATATTAAAAAATATTCAAATATTTTCTCTCTGCGTTTATTCGGACTTGAGACCGACGTTATTACAATAATGGCCGCATTAAAAATATTTGTTCTTTGTCATCGAACATTTACTCTTGTCTCTTCTCTCTTGATCTCCATCAATAATCCCTTATTGGTGGAATCTACTTCGAGCTCTTGGAATTTACTTGAAATTCAACGAACAAAATGATTCTCAGCTTTATATTTAAAATTGAATATTTTAAAAAAGTTGAAAATTCAATACTTTGTATTGAAACTTTTTTTTCAACACAGTATTAAAAAATCAATACAAAATATTGAAAATTCAGTACAAAGTATTGAAAAATCGGCATATAAGTTATAATAATTTCAGTTTGTAAAAATTTCAATTCGCTACTATAACATTTGTAACTCAATTACGGTCAACAATTATCATTAAATTTACTTTAAAAATAATAAAATTCTAAAGAGAATAATTTTTACAAACGACAAATTTTAGTTGTATTAAAAATTCAATATTTTATATGGAAAATTCAACATTTTTTTGTCACTGTAGATCTGCGTGTACCATTACCTACTTTTACTTTTCGTACGCTCACCCTTACCTATTTTTACTTCTCGCACGCTTACCCCTACCTATTTTTACTTCCCGCACGCTTACCCCTCCCTACTTTTACTTCCCGCACGCTATTGAGACTGGGCACATGTTGAAACTGGGCACTGGTGGTAGATGCCGCTGTTGACATGCCGGTGGTAGGTGGACGGCATGTTTCCATCGCAGTCTATCTCAAAATTTTGAGATACAACTATGACGGACATGCGTCCATTTTCTCGGTGGTTACAGCGGCAAGTGACGCTGTCATCTAGGGGACGTCCGAGTCCCACGTTGCGTGCGCCAGCGACGTTGGCCTGCAGGTTGATGACTAGATGCACAACGCTGCCAGCCACGTACATGATGTCTCCGGCTCGCTGAAAGGCTGCCTCCACCGCGATGCTCCAGGCATCGGCGAGGGTCCTCAGATGCACGAGGACAGCCTCCTGTTTATGGAAGGCCGGGAGCTCGCAATCATCTTCCGGCCATCAGCATTGCTCGGCAACTTTCTGGCAAAAATTCTTGACATTTTTGCCTCGAAAGAAAAACCAGAACTTTGCTGGCTCTTGCAGCCGAATGGACGAAGTCACCCAATTGACCGAGGGTGCTCCTCCATCTTCTAAGTAGAACAGGGTCATCGACCCTGGAAATCACACATAAAAATATGAGTTTTCCACTCCTGAAACAGAAAAAAACATTTTAAATATTAATTTATTTATAAAATTGTATTCATATATAATAATAAAAATAATAATAATGAAGTAACTTTACCTTCCAGCCGAATGGTCCGCTGTATCTTCGAAAGCCGAGAACGCAAGGTAGCCTCGAACTCCTGTTGCGAGGCTACCGTGATTGATATTCCGTGCGCACGTTGTTTTTGCGCGCGGCGAGCCAACTGCGTCTCCATTTTCCGTTGAATAAACTGGCTGTCGTCACACGCGATGTTGCACCGAGGAAATGTGATATTGTATCCTCCTGGTGGGGTGGCACTGATGTCACGGGCGTAGAGTGCAGAATATTTCTTGCTTTCCGCCCTTTCGACGATGAAGCCGACGACGCGATGAGCGAAACTTGACGGCTGCTCGTCCGGA